TTGAATTAAAAAATCATTTCATAAATTTAGATTTACATAAAAAAATTTTTTTTTTTATTCATAATTAAATACAATTTTTTATTAAAAATATAAAAGTAAAATTTAATTTTTATTTCAATTAAAACAAATTATATATTAAAGATATAGTATTTTCCATATGTTTTTGGCTGGGTCTCTAAAAAAAAATTTTTTTAATACATCTTTTATACTTTTTTTTTTTATATTATAAAATTGGTTCATAAATATAAAAAAGATAAATGTTTTTAAGATTTATTAAAAAAAAATTGTATTTATTTTTTTTAAATTTTTTTTAAATTTTTTTTTTTTATGATAAGTTAAATATTTTTGTAAAGATAATTCATTTTTTGGTGTTTTAAAAAATAATTTTTTATTTTTGGTATTTTGATTAAAAACTTTTATTATTTTGTGAAACCACCTTTATTTTCCATTATTTGTTCAATTCTTTTTGGAATTGATTGATATTAATTATCAATAACTTCTCGTTCAATTCCACACCATATTTCATCTATTAATTCTTTAAAATCTACATCAGAATTGCTTTGATTTTTGTAAATTATACATATTTTTAAAACTAATCTTAATATTCAATAATTTTGAGGTCTGAAGAGTATTTTGGGATCCATATGACAAGACATTCCATTGTTTTTGTTAAATTTTTGGAGATTTCCTTAACTATTTTTGGACAGTTATCTTGTAAAACATTAATAGATTAAACATCAAAGAAATATTTGATAGCTTAAGACCATACTTATCGTTTAGGTACCATACATTATGTTCATCTATTTATATTACAATAAACAATTGGTATTGATATTTCGCTGACAGCAGAACCTGTAAGGATATTGAATGGTTTTAATTGGTGCACCTGTCTTTTGAATATTAATAAAGTTAATTTAATTTATGTTTGTGGATCTGCGTCTATTTTCTATATTTCTTCAAAGATGCCAATTTCTATATGTATATAGGTTTGTTGTTATTGTTGTTGTTGTTTTAAAATAATGTATTGATTTTCTAACTTGTTCTATAAATGTTTTGAACATATTTCGGTAATGCTAAAATTAGTATTTTTAGTTTGATGTGCTATATTTTACATTATTAAAATTATTTGTGTGTGTGTGTTTGTTGTGTGTTGAAAAAAATAAAAATAAAAATAAAAATAAAAATAAAAATAAAAATAAAAATAAAAATAAAAAAATTTTTATAAAATTATTTGAATTTTAAAAATAAATATGGCGGTAATGTGTGTTTTAAAAAATCCAATAAAAAGATGCCTCATAATTTTACAACACATTTTTACATTGATGTATTTTTATTTTTTTCTCAATAGTTTGAATAAATTTTAGTATAAAATAAAAAAAATTAATCATAATAAATATATGAGTAAATAAATAGTAAACAAATAATAATAAATAATTTATCTATATCAAAGTATACCTAATCAATGGCCCGTAAGGGAGCAGGGGTGTGACATTCATATAATGTTTGGCATCGTGGTAATCCCCCGTTTTTTAAACCATATTTCCTTAATATAATGGGTATATGTCCAGAGGGCTATATCAAATCATTTATTATTGAATGTGGACCTCTTTTAAAAAACTGACAGGTGAATGATATAGATATTTATTATAATTATTATTTTGAATTATTTATTTATTTATTCATAATAAAACAAAAAAAAATACTAATTATAAAATAAAAAAAAAATTATAGGTAATCAATATTTGCAAAGATTATTATGTAATTAGATTCAAGAAAAAGATCAAAGGGTTCAATTATAGATTTAAAAAGGTAAAAATAGTTATTAATAACCACTTTAAATAATTAAAATCAGTATTATTTAAATAATATTTGAATAGTAAAAATAAAATACAACCAACACATATGCATATAATCTA